CGTGGCGGACGTTTTGGCGATCGCGCAGAGGGCGTACTCGTCTCATCCTTGGAAGGAGATGATGGAAAACCTTTTCCTCGGTCATCATTTCCAATTGCTTTAGTTCATCTCTGCCTCGATCCGGTGTAATCTCTTTGTTTGAATTCAAAGCCTTAACCCTGAATCTACCCTTTGCAAGTATGCTATCCACTTCTTTCATTAGTTCTCTCGCCCTATCAACTGTGCTGACGGAATCACAAATATCATCCATGTAAGTGTTTAAATTGAGAGCTTCTGATGCCTGTGGAAATATTTCTTTACTGTTTTCCGCTGTTTTTCTCAGAGCGATCTGCGCCATCGCTGGGGCTGGCTTGTCACCAAATGTGAAAACTGTTGATATATAAACATCGGACTGCAAATCTGTCTTCATGTTTCGCCACAAAAATGATGCACAAGCTGATCTTCATATGGTGTAAGGATTCGGTTATACATTTTTGATATGTCACTGCATATCGCAACATTATTTTCCCGGAACCGCAAGAACACTCCGAACAGGTTGTTGAGTAAGTCGGGTCCTTCGTACCAATATTCGTTAAGACAGTGTCCGTTAAATGTTGCTGACGAGTTGAAGACTATTCTGACTGGTGTACTCTTCTTCTGCGGACGCACCACTGGGTGATAGACAAAGTAATATACTGGGCCTCTGTGATTTTCTAGTTCCTCTCTGCTAATTTTTCTTGCGAAATTCATGTCGTCCAGGGCCTTCATCTGGTCATCATTTGCGAGCTCAACATCTTTTTGAAGTCTTCGTTCAATGGCTTCTAATTTTCTTTCAGTCTGCTGTCTGTTGTTAGGCAACAAATTTGGGTCTTTTTTTCCAGGGATATGGTATCATCCACTGATCTCCAACTTTCATGCATGAGTCTTCAATTGTTTTCGCTTCTTCTGCTTCCGCTGGGCCAATTTTGTCGGCTTTACACCTGCATGACTTAACAGCAACTCCTATAGATTCTGTCGTCCAGGAATCAGCCATGTCAAATAGCGTTGATAATTTCACATGCAATACTTGGTTTATTTGTGTTTTTTCTCCTGTCACTGCACCGATAATTATCCAACCTAATGGTGAAGGACGAGCTACTAGATTTCCAACATTTATTGTTTCGCCTACATGCATATTCGGGTAGTCGATTCCAATTAGCATATCTACCTGACCATGTCCACTATGAACATCTTAAAACAGCTTGCTAACACTGCCACCTGCACTTCCATGACATCCTCACTTATTGAAGGTATACCAACTGCTCTCACAGTAACTCCTGTCTCTTATTCACTTGACGAATTTTGGCGTTATATATCTTGGTAAAGAGTTGTTCTTCTCCTCCTATCTTGCAAATAGTCGTTGATACTTCCTTTCCCTTGAGGTTTAAGCGTTCAGCTAGAGATGTTCTGATTAGTGTTATTTGAGCTTTCATGTCTAGCAGAACGTTTGCAGCATCTTGTTTGTTGTTGTTTCCTATGATTTCCACTAAAGACCGATGGAATTTGTGGACTGAGTACTGTTCATGTGTAGAAATTGATGGTGAAATGACTTGCATTAAATGCCATGATTCATCACAGTACATTGTTTTCTTCTAGAGCATGTAGATACATTGTGGTTTCTTCAATCTTTTTTTTAAGCAGCTGTAACATGCATGACCGTTCTTCATGGTTTTTAGGCATTCCACTGGTGTCATTGATATTTGCTTAGGGCACTGATCAACCAAATGCTCTGAATTTTGCCAGCCAGCCCTTGAAATTAGGTGTGCTACATGGTTTAGACACATAATTTACAGACTGCGTACGTGAAACTGACTGCCTAGTGCTGCGCAGTGGAGCTGTTGCTCTCATTCGAGACTTCATCTCTGCTGTCATCCAGGTCCACAAGTTTTCCATTGTTGCTTCTTTTTTTCTCTCCTTCTATGGTGCGAAGCCACACCTTCCTATCATTGGCATTCATTCTCTTCTCTATCATTGCTAGTACATTATTGTTATGCATGTCGTGTGGTCGGCCTACTTCTCTCAGTATATTGAAGCTGCGTTTAACTAAATGCACCAGGTCACAGAATCTGTTGTCCTCGTCCTCATGTAGTGATTTAAATTTCACTATATCCTGCATTATTATGGCGGCAATAAACCTCGGATCTCCGTAGATTGAATCAAGATAATCCCACGCTGCATCATAATCAGCTCCCAAACCATTTATCATTCAAGCGGCCTGCCTTTAATGCAGGTACGTAACATTGCGGTCGAATCCCTTTTGTAGTACCTCTGTACCACAATATGTTTAAAATCCTGCCTGAAGGTGAAGAATTCTCTAATGTTACCCTCAAATGTTGGCAGTTTTGGTTTTTCCATTTTGAAACTGCATGAAGACGGTTCAATCTTGTATGTCAGCTGTGTGTCAGGACCTGTGGCGTCTTCTTCTTGACCACCTTCAATTTCCTCGTAGATGGCTGGCGGGTTGGTTTCAGTTGGTTATATAAATTAATGATTCCTATTAGGAGCATTTCTGGAGTTTGGATAAGACCGAGGTTCGTGTACCTCCAACTCTGATCCTTCAGATATGGGACAATGACAAGTTTTCTCCTGACGACTTCTTAGGTAAGAACATCAGATTTTTGTGTATGTAACACGGAGATTTTAGTACTTTAATAATAACTTTGAAGACTAGTTCATTCAACAAAATGGTTTTTATGCACACATTCATTATGATGTATAACCACACTTCGAAAACACTTGGAAAATATACAATCAAAGTTTGACAATCAAAGTTTGATCAAACAAGGATGAGTTGGACAGACAAATTAGAAGAGTGTGAGCAAAAAAAGAAAAGTAGAATTAACTGTTTGTTCCATGTGCATTAACTATTTGTGAATGTGTGCATGAATGAGAACTGTGTAGGCTATTGAAAATGAGTAAGGTTTTTCTTTCTCTGACTGCTTCCCAGGATAGGGGCCTACCATGTGGCTGCCATGGTTACCTAGGGGCCTAATACAAATTTTTTGGTTAATTTCAATAATGACCATATATATGTAAATTTACATTTGCATTTAATGTATGTACTGTAAATTCATATGTTATTGTAGCTATAGGCTGTACTACAAAACTATGAACAGAGCACTCAAGATTTTCATGTTTCTAAAAGAGGCTGAAAATGAATAATCATGCATAAGAGAGCCTCTCTGAGGTTTTCTCTTCTGAGGAATACATAAAGATTTAGTATCTAATGTAAAGTGCACTAGAATGTATGTGTAGGCCTAATTATCTTGGCTAATGCTCAGTTTATTAGTCAGAAAAATTCCATGAAGATCGACCAATTCTCAAGTTTATAATTGACTATAGCCTGACATTCAAACGGTGTGGGAGTTGTAATTATTTGAGGTCATGCCCCCTATTTCAACCCGAAATGTCAGGATTTCGTGGGAGGCTATCAGAAGATTATTCGTTTAACTAAAATGGGCGGGATAAACTTTGAGTGTTCGTTCCGCTCATGATTCATAGGAATAATGTATTTACCAAGGTCATTTCTGGCAGCTTATGTTGAAATTTTTTATATAAATATGTTTTCCTAAGTATTAAGAATTTGGAAAATTTTACGAAGAAATATTTTCTAGCAGTCTAGTTGAGAAAGACATTGACAAGATATGTAACTCATAAAGGAAATAAGTAAATTATTAAAGTTAAAGTCAATTTGGTCTGTCCCACTGGAAAACTACAGCAGCTGCAACAGAAGGGAACTGCCATCTCTGGGGTAAATTTGCCCCCTATACCAGAAGACAATCCTTGCTTTTTTCTGCAAGGTGTACTGCATTCCTTACCATGTAAACAGCTCCCTTTTTGTATTGAAATAAACAGCTTAAATGCTGCAATATACTTTGTTTCACAAGCAGCGTACTGTAGATGGTTAAAGTAGATTGTACACGCGGTGGCTACCACACGTTTTTGACCAGCTTCATACAATCTCAACAGAGCATTCGTTCATTATATTCTTTACTAGTGGCTGAGAATATAGCAGGGGCGGATCCAGTAATGAGGCACGGGAGGAACGTGTAAATTTTTAAAAATTCAGTGCCCGCCAAAACACATTGCTAGGAACCTCCCTTTTTTTCTAGCCCTGACGCTGATCACCTGTAAAAAGTAGTATTTTAAAACTGGGAAGTAAAACTGTATAAATGCAGTGAATGAAGGTTTTTGTAAGAGCAGAAGTTAGGGTTCAGCCCAAAAATCAAAAATTCACTTTTGGGCCTCCTATTCATTTTTATGCCTACCATTACTTAATCCCCCACAGTGGCGGACCGTAGGGTATATTGCAGGGTATGCTAGGTATTGGCATATCTAGGATGTACAAGGGGCTGCACGTCCTCCCCCTACCCCTGAAAAAAAATACTCGCCCATTCCCCAGTCGTGCCCCGCACACAAAGCATGCTCAAGTAATTAAAAATCACCTCATATCACCTTATTTTGCGAGTTATGACCTCATAATCACCGATCCCCCACTTTACCTTCCTAACACCATCAGCTCCCTTTCATTTCAAGACCCGCCACTGATGCTAGGGCCTGCTAGTGATAGGAACAGTTCGTAAGCCTACTACTATACAGAATCAGGTTGCATTCTATAGTCAAAATACAATGCATGTTATTTTTAATACCGGCATGGTTGTCTTTTCATCAAAAGAATTCTTATTCCTATATTTTAACAAATTTCAATTCAAATAATAATAATTCGAAATTTCTTCTATACCGGTCATATGTATGTAAACATTGTAAATATATTTAAACTTCAATCGATTCAGATTAGGCTTATAGATAGAATACCCGAGTGAATACTACAAGTGAATAAAAAATGGTTTAAATCTTCGATTTCTGATTTGCACAAAGGGCATATCTCGTCCATGTCATCGCTCCAATTAGATAATCTGCCATTGATTTGCAAAGTGTTATAACGTGCTTTAAATTTTAGATTTGCACCTGTAAAATCAATCTTATCAAGTAGATATTTCTCTATGCCTCCATAAAGAAAAGTAATAACTTGAAACCATTTAATTTGCCGATAGATAGTTAATGATGGTTTGTTTATTGCACTTTCAAATAAGCTGTGTTTATCTAGGTCTTTAATAAAATACTTATTGACATTGATATTTTAATATCAATATCTAAGTTTTCAATATCATAATTAACGTTTGAAAAAAATTGCTTTAATTTGTTTTAACCAACTCCATTTAATATTTTTTATCTCCAGCGTTTAAATGGCTTATAGTGCTTTACGTGACCATTGATCGGATTCAAGGTTTACAAGTCTTTTTACAAACTTTATACCCTGGAGGTATAAAGAGGCTCAAGATTTTGCTATTCTAATTCCGCATACAAAACATCTTTGCTTGTGTATCTTGGCGCCCTAAGTATAAATCTGGCCATATTTAATTGTAAACGTTCTAAAAGTTCAATATCATTTTGACCTCCAGACCACGTTGAACAAGCATAATTAATTGAGGAAATACCAATAGCCTTTCATAGAATGTCCCCGTAGTAAACTCGGTTTTAAAATCATCTTGATCGTTTAGGATAGATTGAATATACCCTCTTATTTTATTATCTCGATTTATTACTTCATTTATGTGCTTGTGATCTGACAAATTTCTTGATATTGTGCAGCCTAAACATTTGTATGTGTCAACCTCAATAATATTCTCTTCACCCAATTGCCAGTCTTTTATCATTCACTCTCTTCCCCACAAATAATATATGTGATTTTTTTATGATTAAACCTTAATCTATATTTATTACTAAAATCATTAATTTTGCAATGTCTAACATGCTCTGCAACTCATTGGCATCATTTTCTAATAGTACAACATCATCGGGAAAAAATAGAGAGCCCATTTTCGTTTCATTAATGCCGAAGTAATTTTGCTAATTCATTGATGTATATTGAAAAGAGTATTGGATGTTGTGGATAAGTTGTGTCAGAAAAGTATGTTTACAAAAGGTGCAACAACGTGTTAGACGCTACATAATTGTAATGTTTTATGACTCTTTATGTCACAACACGACGGACTGACAGGAGACGATTGCCATTTTCTCAGTTCAGTATTTATTGTAAAACATAGGTGGCAGCAAACATTGTTTATTGGGGATGAATACATTACAACTCTCCCTGTGTAATCTGTTAGTGGTTTAAACATTTAGGTGTGCAACATTATATTGCAGAATTATCTGATGAATCTATTTTCATATTATATATATATATAAACTTTCAAAACAACACTATTCTAATCTCATCAGAAAATCTAAATTAACAGATGGCTCAGGTATACTCTATTTTAAAACTATCAGTTTGAGTATCGATCGTTACTGTATATAAGTGATATTTAATCTGAGCTCAATAAACGTTATAGATCTATCAAAGTTATCAGGTATTATTATATTGTGTGATATGAATCTCTATCGTGATGTCTCAATAAATTGAAAATTGAATTCAACATTTGAATGTGTGTGCGTCTTCAGTACATTTCTGTTATCAATCGTTTAGGTTTTTTAACTACCCTTTTAGATCGTCTAAGTTTACTTTCATTTACAGTCACACATTGTTCATTGTTCATTTCCATGTCTGTTTCACGTTGTGCCTCCATCACCGGAACTGCTGCTGGTTCACCAAACTGTGGTGCTCTTTGTGTTGGCATAATACTCTCCTCAGTCTGTTCAGCAGCCGTAGTTTTTCGAAGTTGTTCAATGTGCCGCTTCCAAGTTCCACCCTCCTGTGTCCTTATGTCATAAGATAGTGGACCATTTTTTTTTGTAACTTCGCCAGCTATCCATTTATCTTTACCTCGATAATCACGTGCAACTACTTTCTGTCCAATGTCAAGATTTCTTTCTTTACCATGTGTCGCTCTCTGTTTACCCTGTCTTTCCATGACAACCTGTTGCGTGTCTGGTCGCATGATGTCCAATCTTGTACGAAGGTCTCTACCATAGAATAATCTTGCTGGGCTTTCACCCGTTGTTGCATGAGGTGCGTTACGATATGCTAGTAGAAAGTTTTCTAATTTCACTTGTTTGGAAAGCTTCTCTCCTCTGGCTGACTTTAAAGCTCCTTTAAATGACTGGACGAATCTCTCTGCTAAACCGTTAGTAGCAGGATGGTTCGGGGCTGACCTAGTATGTCGGATACCATTAGATTTCATAAAATCCTGGAATTCCTGTGACGTGAACTGTGTCCCATTGTCAGATACTAATTGTTTGGGTAGGCCACATCTTGCAAAGACACCTCTCAAAAGTGTGAT